CCCCCCCATATAGAAAACAATACGACATAGGGCTTATTTTATTTATTATGTAGGCCGCACATGTGTGTTCAAAACTAAATATAAACATTTTCATCATGTTTTTGTTTATTACAAACATATTCTTTCACCATCAATACACAATGATGCCCTTCTTTTACTTAAAACGATCAATCTTTAAATGTTCTTTCTATTTGAGTCGGAACTATTATGGGTTCATTTAATTTAGAAGGCAAAGGAGGATAAGCACAAGTTCTCACCCTCAAAAATGCGCGCGATGAGCGCAATTTTTTTTTTTTTTTTGAGCTTAGGTTTTATGTTATATTTATTACAAATATATTCTTTCACCATCATTACACATTGAGGTCTTTTAGGTAAAACGATCTATCTTTTTTTATTTTCCTTCTTGAGTCTGGAACTATCATGTGTTTAAATAACTTAGAAGTCTAACGCCAAACCCCCCCCCCCCCCCAAAAAAAAATGCGTGCGATGCGCACAAGAAATCTTTGTGTTTTTAATTCTAATTTTGTCAGAATTTATCAAAACTCCCATGTGCAATTTTTAGATGAAATTGGCCTACTATAACGATAAATGCGAGCGGTGCAGTGGCAGTGGCTGAATTTTGTATTCTTATTTTAAAAGAGTTAACATTGCACAACAAGACCTAACCCATATCAGTGTAGTCTCATTTAAAACTAGAAAAGATCCAACAACGTGTCACACGGATTTGCTTTTCCCTTCAAAATATTCCTTAGAAGCAATGATTGGATATACTAACATTTGTTCATCTTGAGAAAATATTTAATTTAATTTCCTTTTATTGCCTGTGTTTCTTTATGGTGTGAATCGCATTGACCCGCATTCTTGTTCAATTCAATATACATTTATTTAATCAATGGAAAAAATAATAATGGAAAAACATAACAAAAATCATTAAATTTAAATAACATAACTCTATTGACAAGGATCAAGTTAAAGAAGCAGTTAAGCTTGTCTCAATTGACCCTTACAAAAAGAGTACAAAGTAGAAAAACAAAAAGCCCAAAATAATTGCAGTACATACGTACATACGTACATACACACACATTCCCCCACCCCCACAAAATACACAAAATCGGTACAAACAGTGCTTTATATATACATATACTGTACATACATATTATGCATACATGTACGTGCAACCATACACACATACACACACACAGGCCTACATACACACACACATACACACACCCATACATACACGCACACACGAAAAAATAATACTCACCATACTGGCAATCTTATGTTAGAGCACTAATTTGTTATGATATACAGTTCTTAATTTGTTTTCCTCTTTACCCTCTGAGCTTAAAAAATATTTTTCAACAATCATAAAATCTTTCTTTCCCACTTAAGTAACAATTACAGGCAAACGAATGACAAACAGTTTCATATCTGTGAGTTCATATTGATTATCTTTTTTCTTGTTATTGGCCTGTTAATACATTTTTTATATAACTTAATATATGTAAGAGTAATTATAAGAGTAATTTTATCCCATTTTAATGGATTTTATGTTTATGTTTCTCAACCAGGTTAGAGAGCCACTGGTCAGTATTTAAGCATACTTTTTGGTAATCCTGTTTTGTCGATTTACGAAACCTTCATTGTTTCGTGTGTGTATTTTTATAGAGACAACATATATGAAATGAACTAATCATGAACATGCATTTTAAGCACATTCAATGGACTTCCTTAGCAAAAATATTGAATGGTCGTGGTTGTGCGGAAGAGTCCATTGTGTTTTTTTGTGGCATAAGAAACTATTGGATGGCGAAATTATAACTGTTTTAATTATTTTCGTTTATACATATAGGATTAAAATACAACATTGCATACCTTGCCAGCATGCATTTAAAGTTATAAAATATTATCATCAAGTAATGATGTCAACTTCTAAAATTAACAAACTGGAGTTTTTAGGAAGGTGTAACTGGATTGTTTTGTAGAGATTACTTGAAAGTGATCATACCATATCTATTAAAATTGAACCGTTGTTTCTGTTGTTCTTGTTCAGAAGTCAATCAGTTATCGAGTGGTCAGCAGCATTAATACATTTTCAATAATAAGTATTTTAACGAAATGATGGTTGAGTTTTCAATTAGTATGACATGAGTACATACATTAGACAACATTCCAAAGTTTCCAATCCTGTATTTTGTTGTCTGTAATCTACAGAAATAAGTAGGAAGTTCTCAGCGGTATTCGACAATTAAGACTAGGTACTGACACGACTAAATTTTAATGAATGGTGAATGCGAAATGCCTCTACAGCAGCAATTACGGTCATTTGTTAGAAAAGTGTAATTTGGTATTAAAGCATAGACAAAATTTTCACAGGAGACGCAATGCTCGATGTGCACTTAGAAGTGGTGCAAATGGTTGGTCTAATCCTGTTTACCGGTTCTGAATATACACACAGAATATCTGTCCTTTGACTTATACATGCATATTTCATAACATTTTTTATCCAAACTTTCTGTTAATGTGATGCTAGTGTTTCATCTTAGTTTTCAAAAAGCAATAAAATGTATTCATGTTAGTAGAGATTTAAATATAAACAATAAAATACATGAGTATCACTTTATTATATTTTGTGGAATAAATATACACTAGATTCCTGTGAAATTATGTACTTGATGAGTTAAGCTGTTTAAGTCTAACTGTATTTATTTTTTTAAATTAACGGAATGATACTGTTTAATTTAATTGTAAGCGTTAATATAACAATAACAGTAATATAACAAAATATTTTTTGATTTGCATTAATAGTTCAGAGTCGGGTTGTAAGTCAGAAACGCCTCAACCTATGCCGTTAACTTTCAGCTCTAATTTGAGACTTTCCACGCACATAGTCCAATTGCTAGCCAAATTATGGACTTTAAAGAACCTAATGCATCTTTCAGAAAAGTAGGGAATCACCGTGGGTTTACTTCAGTACAGCCCCTGTCGCTCTGGAAGAATGAGCCTGACTCTAGTTGATATCGTATTCTTTGACTAAAACCATATGCGAATTTGGAAAATGGCAGTGCAAGTTTCAGGAAAGACATATAACAAAATACCTACTCGTTCTCTTCGCTCTCACTTGGTGAAGGTTTAAACATAATTCGATCACTCATATTTAATTCGTATACGACGATAACGTTAATATTCCAAGAATTACTATGTTACTATAGACTGATAATGGTCAGCTAATTTTTGAATCTCATGTCACTTTGAATCTGCAATGTTTGTTGTTCTATGTTATGTGTCTGTGATAGATACAGAGCAACAATATAAATTTGACTAACAATAAAAAAAAAATCATTCATGCAAAAAGAGATATCAATGACGTCAAAACCGACGTATAAATTTTAATAATCATATACTGGGAAAAATGAATAACCACTTCTTTCTCGCAGTTTTAAAACATTCAAAAATCTGTATATTTTAACCAAATAACAGGGAAAAAGAAGAGTATATAATATATCTCGTTATATAAGACTAGGTTAGAGAAAGAGTAATAATTTGATTGAGCTTTAATAGAAAATAAAATGTGTAATAGTATCAACTTAAAACTTCCAATTCGATGGAGTAAGTGCTTGTACTTTCAGGAAGGATTTAGATATCTAAAAACATTTATTTGAATAGGAAGTATAAATACATATTCTGCATACTAATTATTCTAATTACACTTCTGCTGTCAAAAGAATATCTGTTTTAAGAAAGGGAAAATGCATTTTTAGATATCAGAGCATGGTGCACATTCATTTCATCATATTTTGAAGTTTCTGCGACAGCCGCATTTAACATAAAAATTTGTAGATTTTGAGTGCTAATTGCATATACTAAACATTCGAGAACTTGCACCAATTGTAAACGTTAAATTTCTGTAAATAATTTGGCAGTAGTCTTTGTAGGGCAAAACAACTTTTAGGTTTTTTTTTGTATAATCCACGGAACATACACAATTTTAATTATTTTTTTCAAATTTTCCTCCACAGTGAATAAGCAAGTATTTGATAATGTGAGATGTGCACAATTAATTAACTTTATATTTAAAACTTCAAAATTGTTTTGACTAAGAGTATATTATGCTTGATGCTGATCTTCGTTATGATATTGCAAGATACTGTAGAAAAACCTTTTTTACGACATATAAAATAGAATTTCTGTTTACATTATTGGTATATATTATATATTGAGGATACATGTAAGTGATAGCCTGATGAGGTAGAGAAGACGCATTAGACTATAATTCATAACAACTCTATAGTGTGATTTGCTATAGTAACCAATATAGGTTTAGCCAATAATCGAGTCCTACATGTCGTCACCATCATAAATAGCATCATAATTACCGCAACCACTATTACCAGCCTCGTCGTCATCATCAGCATAGTCACCATTAACATCATAAGAGGACGACCAACAACATTATGGATAATGGACTTAAGGAATGGACTGGACAAGGACTGGCGATAGCATCATCGTCTGCTGCTGATTGGGAGTGTTGCGCAATTTGCGTTATCGGACTAAAGAGAGAGAGGCATTATCATTACCACCACCACCACTTATCGAAGTCTTTGTGTCAAATTTTTTTATTTTTTGCCAATTATGTATATGTATTTAAATGACATTTTTAAACTTATTATGAAAATTATTATTGTAAATTAGTATTGAAGATGTTAAATTTAAGCAAAGCAACAAGGAGCCATATTTTGATTTTTTTTTACATTACATTTCGAAAATTATTATTGTGAGATATACTATAATAATTTAATTAGTATTAACGAACTTAAAGTTAAACAATGCTTTATTCAAATATTGTTAATAGCTTTGTGAATCTACCTTTTTATCCTTTATGTATGTTTACACATATCCATACCATATTATATGCTTTCCTATATATAATTATTTGGGTATGCTCTTATAGGCCTACAAGTAACCATTTGGCTTATCTGTAGTTTATTTATCTGTAGTTCCAGGTTCATTTTGTTGGTTCATTCCTCATTACAAGTGCACGAATCAGCTAACTTGTTTCCCTTTTACTGTTTTCATGCTAGGTAGAAGTCATGTCAATCAATCAATCTGAAAATTTAAAAAATTATAACATATCAATGAAGATCACTTTATTAAGTTTAAAAGACACGCGATTTACACCGTTCCAATGATACAATGCTATAAATATTTTTTTGTGGTAAAACAGTATTGTTTTATTTTTGTCTCATTTTTAATAAATAACATATCTTAAAAGTTTAATCAGCATATTATCTTGGAATTGATTTTTATTTTGTTTTCTTAATTAATTTTACAATGCGAGTGTTATGTCTGTGGGTATTATTAATGAGAGGGTGATTTGAAGTTGGGATCCTTTTGGAATAATATGTAAGGCTAATTTACAGTAGGCTAATAATATAAATCAATAATAGCAGTGCTCGAATAAGCAACAATGATGTAAAGATCGTATGAGGCATAGCATATCATTGGGTGCGTGCCCATCATGCAGATGGGCTTTGGGGCGGTTGGCACTTAAACACTTTCTGGTGTACTTAATCACAATGTAAAGTATTCACATTTTATTCCACTATGGATTAAGCAACGTTTCCAATACAATACGATTATGTATAATATTTCTATCGTAGTATTTTAATGTTCATGTTTGCTTAAATGAACGTTAATGCATCATTTGGATGCACATGTATTACGTGTATGCTATTTGGTTTACAATAAGTCATTGTGTTAGATAAGCCTTTAGGGGCAGCACAGTACATTAGATGACTATCAGTACTACTGTACGTTGTAAAATTTGTCGTTATTAAAATGACATATTATCATCATATACATGAGTGCTTGATAACGACTCTTATTTTGCGTAGCGTGGGCTTGGGTGTCTGTCGTGTGATGCAAAGTTCCTTATCAATTGTCAAAAAAGCGCCTCTGTCTGTAGCTGCTGAATTCGCAATCTCTGACTCTCAAGGCGAGTGTCATACCACTTGACCACAGTGGCCGTTGGTATATCGCACATTATTTAATATGCTTAAGAAAGTCTAAGAAATTCAATTGAACTTTTGGGTTTAGCTAAAATGGTATCTTTATACGTGTACAATTAAATAAATAAGTTACTTAGCTAATTGTTGCAATGCTATAATATTTGAAATATGATTATCATATCTCGGTATTTCATAGAATAACGCAAGTACTTACATTACGCTATTCCCCTTTTACTCTGATAACCAAGTTGATAGTTGTTTTATAATGTCACTAATCCGCAGTACTCCATTGTGTGGTCATCTTCGAGAGTTGTACCACGGAATGTTAATGGTGATACATTCACCTTATATTGTTCATATATATTACGTTTAAGTTCCGATACTGTCGTTTCTGGATAAACATCAAACTTTTTACTCCCTATATTTGGAAGTGCCACACTTACTTGAAAACTGAAGGTGTAAAGATACGATAAATATTACTGACATAGATCTTTTCAGCATTCTTGAGTTTTTGGTCTGAGTCTAGTTAAACCAAGAATTAAAATTCATACTTGTGTACAATTGTCAGCATTTGTTGAATGTACTTAAATTATTTAAAATATTTTATTATTATTAGATAGCTATTGTTCATTTTTAAGAAATAAGGCCTCTCTAATAAATATAAACAGTTGATGTTGCATTTTATTTATGCTACAGGTATTGATAATAACCACTGACCAAATACATGCAAACAATCTGTTCACCATTTTAATAGGTTGATAGGATTTATCAGGAATGGTTGATAGGATTTATAGTACGTTAAAACGTATTGTGTATTTGCTTTGAAAAGACCGTTTGATTAACTTATTTAATGTCCTTTCCAAATAATAGTGGTTACTAGCAGCAATATTATCAACTTTTTTTAATGAAACTTAGTTTGTGATTCGGATGACCGGTTAACACTACTATACCGTTCACCCTCCAATTGGAGACTAATTAGATAGCAAACGCCAAGGCAACCAAGTATTTAAGGTGCCGAATGTGGTCTTGAATTTGAGGGCACATTGTATATTGACTATACTTTAGCTTATCTCAGCCCCACCCCAACTTGACGCAGGGTTCCCGGAACGCCTTCCTCAGCGGCGAGTGCGAAGCACAAATCAGGGCCAAAAGTGGAAAGTGAAATTTGGATATGGTTTCGTAGTCAGATTTGCGAGAAAAAATTCAGCTACCCGTATTTCTCGACTGAGACGTCAGTGGCAGTATGGCAAGGAGATTGTGCAACCCTTAATTCGTATTAAGGGAATTTACGCCCAGAAACCTTGTAGCTATTAATATTTTGGTTATAATAGAAAATATTCATTTTTTGGTGACGTCACACTCACAATATATTTAGCATGCATACGTTATAAGCTAGATTACGTCACTTTTTCCTGGTAAGGCAAACTATCCTGGCGTGCTTTTTTCATGGATAAACAAACACTACTGCTTTGCACATGGATGCCTTGTCCTAGCTAGGGATACAAGAGCCGCATTGTTAGCATTGTATAATGCGTACAAGGTACCTCTGCAACTGAATAATTTTTTTAAATTTTAATTTATTTTATTTCGAAAGTGTACTTTCTATCACATATTATTGCACTGTCTAGTGAGACCTGGGCCTAGCCCTAGTATTATTATGTATGCTTCATCGTCATCCGCTACACAGTACATCAGTAGCGCCCTCTAGATGTGTATAAGAGAACAGTACAGACGTTTGCTGGGCTACAACGTGATTGAACCTTCCTTGTTCATGTATTGGCATATACTAATGCTAGCTAACAATATTGGCATATTTTTAGCTAACCATGTGTGTATTTCGTTTGCATCCCTTCTTGGAAAGAGGGAACTTCTCCCCTCTTGGAAAGAGAGAACTTCGAAATAATTGTCTCCATATCTTCGCTAATTAAATTAATCACCGTAATTTAGCTTACACTTATGAATTTAGCAAGCGCTTAAAATGTACAATAATCATTTCACTACCCGACAGACTCCGAACTTTATTCATTTGGCCTACATACTAGTTTCATCTTGCTGTACTATACTCCAACATCACTGGCGTATGGTAACAACCAACTGATGCAGACCATTTCCGGTCACACATTACTCTCCATAACACAGCACCCCCTAGTTCCGTCACCTCTGGGTGAGGCTTATATCAAGTTTGTTGTTTAATGTCCTGGTTGGGTTTAATCTGCAGTATACCAACGGTCCCTGTGGTCAAATGGGGCTTGTGAATGTCTATTAAAAGTATATAAAACTTACCGACGCCTTGGATTTGCACTTGGTTCGTAATATTGGCTCATATTTGATTTGATAAGTAAAGGTTCAGTAAGTCTTAGATATAATGTCGAAGCTAGAATCGCTTGTTCAACTTGTCAATAAACGATTGGTAGATAATCTCTAGCTTGTAACTTATATTTGCTAGACTTCTGAAAATCCCAGTGACAGCACCGCACCGCGCATTAATATTGAAGGCTGATATACATATATTATTATAACAATCACAAGTAAACAGTAGTTATCCAATAAGTGTCTGATGATAGGTACTTTGTTGACAATATCGAATACTTTTCAGTAAATTAGAACAGTGTTTCAAAGCTGAATAAAACTCCTCATTTGACGTTAAGTGTGGAGATAAAGAGTATTGTCTAAGTTTTCTAAAATTTCCTTAACAAAGAAACAGGTAAATTTTTTGAAATAAATTCCTTGATAATTGAACCAAAAAGTCATATATTTATTCAAAAAACGCACACATCTTAGAAATAACACAAAAGATTTAATTGAAAAATGTTCGGATTAAAAATAATCCATTATCAATACAGAACTAAAAAATAAAGGAAACTCCAAAAAACGAAAATAAAAGCACCTATTAATATATTTCAAATTTTTCAGTTAATTTGTTAACAGAAACATAGGCAAGGGATGATATACAAGTAAGCACTTAAAACACCTTTTTCTACATTGTCAAGAAGAGGAATCTGTGGGTGCGAAAAATTCCTCAATCCTGGACATTCTGCTGTCAATGCAGACGTTAAGGTCGCATCCAATATATACTAGGCCTATCGGGGTTGTTTTTACCCTCACCCACCCCCACCCTCTAAGGAATGACTTAGTGTTGTTAGAAAGTTCTGGTTCTATTTCTAGCTGTTTACATACGCTTACATTTTAAGTGTTGTTTTGCTTTTTAAATATCTATCGAGATCCAGCCACTGTTTTCCCCACGGAATTCTGATGTTTCAGTATTCTGCTGTTTATTGTACATATTTCTTTAAACACCTGAAATTAGTCTAATCATCCTTTTTAAAAATATATCTCCAGGACCCTAAGTTGTCCACTTGTGTTTATATTTCGTTCACATTCAAAAGTAGCTATGGTGTGGAAACAATACTGTCCGTCTGGAAGTGAGCATCTCCTTAATGTTGGCAATGATGACGTCTGCAGAATTTTATGTCGTGTATTCAAAAGTCGAACTGTTATGAGAAAGAACAAGGATGTCTTTACTCACATTGTTTGTCAAAATTTGGAAATATTATATAAAATTAAATTACTATATTATATTTCAGTCATTGAAGGACCCACAATTATACCTCTAGAGGTATAATTGAACAAGTAAATTAATTAGCAATAATTTTGCAAATAACATATATCTGTCTGGTTTAATGAAATAACATTATCAGTTTTAATGTTATATTTTTTTATTAAAAGAATCAGTTTTTAGTAAGAAAATTAAGTTATTAACTAAGCAAAACTCAATCATCTATTATTATAATGTATAAATTCATACATAATTTTAGTAAATAAGGCAGTCAGACTTGACCATAAAAAATATACGAAAACTGCGTCAAATTTTTTACTTTGTAATCGGGTAGTACATTATACATTTAGCATTTTAGTTGGCAGCATTATTTACTAAATATTAAACATAAATATTTCCTATTACGTAATTTACTTTTACGTGATTCTGAGATATAGCAAATCTCTCAAAGTGAACTAGTGCTTCTAAAAAAAGTTGTATAATAATGTCTGGTTTTTATCGTTGTACCTTTTAGTTGCTGAATCGTGCCTTTTTATTTAATTGTGTAACTTTTCAGTTTTAGATAAAGATTATGATAATAATAAATGTGATGATGATAATCATCATCATGATGATAATGATGATGGTGATGATGATGTTGTTAATGTTGACGTGATGCTTGTTATACTCCCTGTACTTTGGTAGGTGGTGTTAGTTAAATAAACTGGTAGTTGATTTTTGAATGACTTCGTATGTTGATGATGTGTTAATGATTGTATGTGCAAACATTTAAATTGTTTCATGATGCAGCCTAGGTGTATCGTCGTAGTATTTACCTTTAAGCAAAGTGCGCTAATAAAGCTATGACAATCGCCACAATGACCAAGCAGGCGATTGCAATAAGGCAGTAGCAGCATATATCCTTTTCACTGAAACGAAATGACAAGGTTTAAGCTATATTATTATACAAACAAAATGTACAATCTCTATATTTGTATAACTTCAATTATAACTGTGTTAAGTTTTTGTATGAAAATTGTCTTTCAACCACCACAGTAGGCCGAAGCGCACCATTCAGATTATTAGTCTAACTTCATGCATTGCTACAGCAATTAGGCCTTTTATAATACACTTTTGGTGGGTAGTCAACGTTCTACAACTAAAAACGAAAATGATTTACACATTTTACTGAATTATATCCGATGAGTGGGGTCTGTTTAATATGACGTGTTTTAATCATACAAAATACGAATAGGTCCTATTTTTGTTCACTGTAGACAAACTTTCCTAGGCACTAGGCTCTTAAAATTTACAAGACAATTAGAAGCGTATACTTACTTTGGTGATGGTTGATATCTGGACTGCCCACTCATTTTGTGTATGTATGTCTTTAATAGATATTCTGTTATACAGTGAATCGGAGGTAAACGTACTGTATTTTTAAGAATAATAGTTTATTTTAAAGCATTTTATCTACTTGTTGCTAATTGAAATTAGATTTAAGAATGTCCACACGTCAAACTCATCATCTACATGAAGAACACACGCAAATAGAATAGAACACGCGTAGTGATATATCGTTTGTCATCCATCCCTTGTCTTTATGCTAATGCAGATTCATTAGCAAATAAAATGTCAGACTCCAGATTATTTTTAAGTGATATGGACCCAACACCTTTAATGATTGGTATAACTGAGGTAAAACCAAAAAATAGTAGGTTCCCAATTTCACTGGTCGAATTCAATATTGATGACGAATATGAAATGTTTCATTGTAACTTAGATTTAGTTGTTGGTAAAGGAACGCTTCTCTACATTCATAGGGACTTAAACCCAAAAGTGTGGTCCAATGAAATAGTCGACATTTTCAGGGAGTCAACTTTGATATATATTGGATTTTGTGAAAATGATAAGTTGCTAGTTGGATGTGTGTATAGAAGTCCCAATAGTGATATAGATATTAACTTAAAACTACAGAACCTACTGAGTAACATTAACAATATCGACTTCAGTCATATTTTAATAATGGGGGATTTTAACTATCCAGATATTGAATGGAATTACTGGACATCAGTCAGTATACAGTCAACAATGTTCATTGAATCGTTGAGAAATAGTTTTTTGTTCCAACACGTGACCCTATCCCACTCGTACTAGAATTGGCCAGGAATCTAATTTTCTAGACTTAATTCTAACCAATGTCCAAGAGATGATTACAGATTTGGCTATTCTTTCGCCATTAGGAAAGAGTGACCATGCATTGATTAGATTTAGATGCTGCTGTTATGTAGATTTGTAGTATATATTGTTATACTAAGGGTAATTATCATGAAATGCGAAATGCTATTTTTCGGAATTGGTGGGGGGGGGGGGGGGAATTTAGTGAAATTTAGTGATTACGGTAATCATACTGAGGTTCTTTGGAATAGATTTAGTACCATGTTAAGTTTTGCCATTACTCAATATATCCCTAAGAAAGTATTAAATAATTCTAACAGTAAGTTTAAAGTACCAGTAAGTAGAGACATCATTGCCAAGGTTAAAAAAGAAACATAGGTGTTGGCAGAGGTAAGTGGAAACTAAGGATGAAAACAAACATTATAATATACCAAACTTAGAAATCAGGTCAGATCCCTTACAAGAAATTGTCATAAAAAATGGAAAAGGATATTGCTCTCCAAGCTAAGTCAAACCCTAAAATGTTCTGGAGTTATTCAAATTCTAAAATTAAATTGAAAAAAGGTATCCCAGATTTAATTGTTAATGGCGACTTACAGAATCCAATATGTACAAAAACTGATTCTGAAAAGGCGGGGGTTCTAGCTACATGTTTCAATAGTTTTTTTTAAATATATATATAAAAGAGAATACTGTTATTGATATGCCTAGAATAGCAGCAATGCAAATGGATTCAATTCAATTCAATTCAATAATTCAATTCAAATTTTCCAAGTCACCGGGTAGTGATGGTTTCCCTCCAAGGATATTGTATGAGGTAGCCAATGTTATTTCTGAGCCACTCAGCATAATTTTAAAATTGTCTTTAAAAACAGGGACATTACCAGAACGATGGAAACAGGGCAACGTTACAGCCCTATTTAAAAAAAAAGTAATAAATCACTTCCAACAAACTATCGTCCAGTGAGTTTAACGTCTGTAATTTGTAAGGTATTAGAGTCTATATATTAGACACAGATGGATGAGTCATTTAAAGGATAATAATTTACTATCGGACAAGCAGTTTGGTTTTATACCTGTGCGTTCCACGATTAGTTATTGAAAGCTATGAACCATTGGACTGGAATTCTTTACCAAGGTGGAAAGGTTGACGTAATATACATGGACTTTGCAAAAGCCTTTGATAAAGTACCACATAAAACACTTATAGAGAAACTTGAGAGTTACGGGATACGGGAGCAAGTAAGTGCTTGGATCTAATCTTTTTTGTCTAACAGAACTCAAAGAGTCGTAAATGGTCATTCATCATCTTGGTTGGATGTTGTAAGTGGCATACCACAAGGCAGTGTTTTGGGGTTTCTTCGTTTTGTATTTTATATTAACGACTTGCCAGGATGTGTTAATTCAGAGGTTTTCCTTTTTGCTGATGACACTAAACTATATCGAGATGTGTCTGGATTTAGGAATCATTTGCAATTGCAAAGCGATCTTGAGAGTCTGATGAAATGGTCATCAACTTGGTTATTAAAATTTAAAACAAGAATTCCAGGATCAACAAACTTGGATCTGGACATAGAGGAGATTATTCCTGCGTCAAGTACATCACCTAAGTAAACCTAAGTAAGTAATAAAACAATACTAATACGGAATCCTGTTATGTATGCACTAATATGTGACAAGCGTTCATACACAGTGAGATTAGAGCAGGCAGCATTTAGGGTCACCTTTTCAATTGACCTGTCCGTACATTAATCCCTTTCTTTGTTTATCAAACCTTAATCTGACCCAACAATTAATACTTTTTGAATTACCGCTCTGCCTTTCTGCGCATGCTCAGCTTATCTCAATCAATTGTATTTCTATGTTTCTTAGTCATTAGGCAATTTTATCTGAAGAGTGTCACACAATGTGTGTGGCACGAAACTAAGTAGTAATAAAATATCTTTATTATACTTTCCCAAATACCAATAAATTTAAATTACTAATGTGTGATGCTAGCCTAATAAATGAAGTTTCGAAATATATATATATTTAAGTTATATAAGAAGAACAAATGGTTTAGTAACACAAACCGTATAAATGATATCTAACAAATATAAGGGCCTGAGACCTGTATATAATTTGAAATAAAGTCCTCGAAAGAGGACTAAATGAATGAATAAAATATCTAATCAAATCTACTGTTGAACTTCGCTTTATTAAGTTTAACTTCTATTGATTACAGAATTGGTTTAATCACAAATCGTAGCTTGTAAAATTAACACACTGGAATACAATTATTACACTAAATCTACAAACCAAGAAGACAATAACATGAATAACTATAAATATATATTTGAGCAATAGAGTTTTTAAAAGTAACTAAATGATAGCCAATAGGGTTGTTTAATTATTTGTTGTCTAATTTACTAATCAGTCAATGTTATGTTCAAAACGCTTCAAAATCTAGAAGACTGTTAAATGTGTTTTCTGTATTTTATTTAAAAAAAAAACCAAGTTAACACAATTGGGGCAGTTTGTAACAAAGATGAGTGGTGCTTTGACGAAAAAAACGCATTGGCCATCAGAATGAAGTTTCCGTTTATGAAAATTCAGAAGTTTATTGACGAAAATAATGTGCAAGAAGATGACTCATGTGGAGGAAGATCAGCGACGCACGGAGATCCGCCGATGACTTTCTTGGTAAGTGAGGGGATTTTTATAAAATCTTTTACAGCACGACATAGTATAGTGCATAATGCAAAAATACAATAAGATTTTACATCATAGTTGTTTTATATAAACAGTATAGTCGACGAAAGTTGTTCTGTTGCTTTTTATGAATCTATCGTGTCCACGCACGCCAAACCGCTATAATCAGCCCCGCAACTGCAACCACTACTCCACCAACAATTATAAGTGCTCCACCATTGGCTCCACCACCATTTCTACCTCCGTCACTGAAATAACGAAAATTTTCGAAAGATTAGTAAATGAGTTATCATTTTTTCTGCTTAATAGCGTTAGCTTAATATTATTGCAAACGTTTATAATAGTATAAATTCATGGTAAAAATGGCACCTAAAAGAAAGTACACTTAATTTGATGGTAATTGGTCTTTACTTTTCCCATGCATTTTATATGTAATAAATATATAATACAGCGGAAGCGTATCTGATGTAAAACGTACTTTTGACAAAACTCACTGTTTATTATCACAGTAGGCCTAGTTCTATTAACGTTAGTGTCTAAAAATCTTATTTCAAAAGCATCCCCTTTCTATAAAGAATAGAAGAAAATTCGTGTTTGTAAAATTTATTTTTTTTGTTCCTGAATTTTCGGTGGGGTATGAGGGCTATTACGGCCTTAGTGGAGTAACGTCCCTACCCCAGAATGCATAGTTCGGTTAGGGTACGGGTATGCGGGTCCAGATACAGGGACTCATTTGTAATTAACGCAATACGTGTCTTCAACCAAAATGCCAAACGAAAATAAGTGATTTTAATTAGCTTGCAATGCGAATTTTACATTTTAAAATGTTTTAAATGAATCTGATTATTAATTATTTTAAATTGTTAAAATACTTTTCAAATTTTAGTCACTGTTGTCCTTCTGGTGTGTTTTAATGTCTTTACAATGTTTTTTTTTTATGATTCATGTTCTTTGCCAGTGGAAAAAGAATTTCCATTTTACTTGTGTTTTAATGGACAAATAAAGTCTGATTTGATTTGATTTGATTTGACTTAAGACCTTATTGGAGTAACGTCCCGAAAGCCAGAATGCATTGTTTGGTTAGGTTTCTTTTATGTTGTTGAGAGAACTTTAAATGTACCAATAAATTTCCTTTTGCAGACGTAATAAAATATTTCATAAAGAATATATAGTATAGTTTGCTTGTTTGTTTGTTTTTATTTCGAGATCGTCTGTTGTCTATGCAGACGCTTTAACCAACTTGGCCATTGAGGCATCGTTAGGAATTAAAATTCGATTAAAACAACACATGCTGCACACTCATCTTCATATGGTAATTGAACAGTCCTAGTTTTAACTAATTCATTCCAAAGGTATAAAGTCTTGGGCTCGATCCTCAACCGAATAACGACGAAATTGTCCTCAATTTTGCCAGAAAATCAGACAGCAAGTGAGGAAGAAACTAGGATATTGCAATCGCAAAAAAAAAAGAGAGAAAGAGAAGATCAACTGGACGTAACAGGCATGTAACAATGTTAGAGCATTATTTTTCGTTCGAGCCTCTTAAGAATCGTTACCGTAATGTTTTTGTTTGGGGCCCAGAACGATGAAAACTATGTCGTTTTTGACTTGTCGTCGCAGTAGTAAAAATCATAGCAATGTAACAAACGTTTAATTTACCTACCAGAACCAGGACGTTAGAAATTCGAATTTTCACGTCGATAGGAAACTAGATTTAATTTTTTATTTTTTTTAAATTTTTTAGCAATGCAGTTAAAATAACTCAGCATCTTTCTAACTCCACTAGTCGTCTGGACGATAAAGATTTGCAAAGAATTGTCATGATTGTTTTTAGCAAACAAATGGGGCCTATTGTTCTGTTTAATTGGATTCATTTGAGCAACTGGCGCATCCTCTATAAATCAGCTTTAGAGGCTAAATTATGATGGATTTTCATTTTTTCAGCACTGGTCAGTCTCCAGTCTTAATTCTAGGGAGAGTGATGTGCTTGCAGCTCTTTTGTCGGGGCAGTTTCTCATTTTACGCGGGTACTGTATTGCAGCCAACAAAACAGGGGTGGCGCCAGGATTTGCCCGACGGGCAGGGCCAAAGTCTCCGACGGGGGACCGATGCCTCCGACGAGGGGTCAGATTTCCCCAACGAAAGAAAATTGGGCGTAATCTGGCTTCGAATAAAAGGTAACGAAAGTCCCAACAATTTTGACAATCTGGGGATTTTAGGGCTTAATTAATCGATTTTAGAGTCTACTAATATGTAGAATATACATATATTTTTTTTTTCTTCCCGATGACTTGTGCTTTTTTCTTTTGCCAGCCCTTCCCGACGGGGCCTACTTCCGGGACCCCCACTGGCGCCACCCCTGCAAGAGAACTGTACAAGAAGATGCGGTACCTTATACATCTTGCTTCTAATTTTATGAGGATTTTGGATGTTTATTGAAGAATATTTAATGGTCAACAACATATTGAATTAGCATAAACTATGATATCTTTGGCTAAGCTCACACATTAGCAGGATATTTTGTGTATAGTATGCAGGAGTTGGATAATGATTTGCAGTGCCGAATGTTATCAATATTATATAAATTTTTTTATTAACAACAACTTCACTCCCTAAAGCAACTCCCACACTATCACGACCTATATGCACTGCGATCAGTATGCGACCGACACGGACCAGTGTGAGAGTTGCTATGAGCAACTTTCTCGTTTAGAAGAGAGGGTCGGCGATGGTCGCGGAGTTTTCAATATGTTAAAAAAATATAGGCCTAGTGGTCGGTACTGGTTGCCAGGTCATACTTCCGGTCAGTTACGGCCATAGGTTGGTACAGTCGAATTTTTAGGTCGCGATAATGTGAAACAGGCTTTAGCCTCAATAAGAGTATTGGATAATAAGGCATCGGTCAATTCTGTAATTGCGAAGTGTATTTGTTATTTGATGTAAAGGAAATAAAAACAAATTATATTAAAATTAATAATTACTACTAATATCTGAAATAATATAGAATGATTATTTGTAATGCATTTGGAAGGCGCAACATAATATCATGGTGCAAGGACAACAAAATAAACTTTAAATACAATTTTAAATAAAACATTTATTCTTATGTTCTTAATTTGCTATCATGATTTTATACTAATAATTAGGAGTTGCTTCAACTTAGCCAATACAATTTAGCTACGTTGCAAAATAAGTTTACAGTAGCCAAATATATATAGGCATATACAATACGCAATCACAAAACGATTTATTTAATCCTGAAAATCATAATACATATGACAAAAGGAAGAACACAACTTAATTTATCCCACATGTAGTAATATAGAAACAAGTCTGCATTAAAAATGTTCAAACTAAAATAAAGGCATATGTAAAATTTGTAGTATGTTACTGTCTAAATATATAAATACAGTGTCTTGCAAAGCATCACTCCTATGGTATTATTTCCTGACGCAAAGTCAAATCCTTATAACACTTGCAGTACCCGCTGCTACTAGGGGATCGGATTCACTGCTTGTCACCAATCACAGTCTCTGTGGTCTAGAGGTTAAGAAATCAGACTTGATACCTGGAAGTCGTGGGTTCGATTCCCACCAGAATCACTTGCAAATTTTTATTCGCTATTATTTGGGGACGTACTGAGTATTTGGTACGATAAAACATCACCCCTAAATCTTACTTCTTTTAAAGTCTATGTGAAACACAAATATATATTATTAGTAAAAAAAAATATTTTGGCCGTTATTTAGGTCTTAGTTGAGTATATACAATGAAATTGCTAATACTAAACATAAACTACAAATGCATCCTAGAGACAATGTACAACGCACTATTATTTTTTTCTAAATGTTTGTGTAGCTATTATGAGAGTAGGTTTAGTGAGGGAAAGCCGTTTTCCTCGGCGACACCTAATAGGTGTGTTTTGTGACTTGCTTCCAATGGGTAAACAAATCCTGTTCAATGGCTCTGAGCATACACATGGCGTATAGATTTTAAGATAGTATATAATTTATTTGTAATATTATCTATTTCAAATTGTAATACAATTTCAATGTCCGCTCATATATATCAGGTAATATTAACATGTAACAATATAACAATGTTAGGTAATAAACTACTCTCCGACAGACGCCATCCAGGTATATCTGAATCAAGGTTTAGAAGCTTTATATTTGAGATTTGAATTGTAATAGCATAAAATAGTTTCATGCAGGATAGCCGAAACCTTAAAAACACTTCACGTGCACTTAAATTAGGCCGCGCCTACGGGGTTCCATCGGAGGTTCGAAGCCTGTTACTTGGTTCCGAGTATACACAAAGTGTGTCTCTTGTTAATATAGTACAGTTTTTTTTATGTTTGGGTAGCTCACGTAGCTATTATAACAGTTGGTTTGGTGAGAAAGAGCCGATGTCCTCAACGACGCTTGAATGGTGTTCCTGTGACTTGTTTTCAACGTTCGGACAAATCCTGTTAATTGGTTCCAACCATACATATAGAGCAGCTCTTTGGATGGTACAACAAGGTCTAATTTTACAAAAGAAATACACATTGACTTATTTGAAGAAGATTACTTCCCGTACCCATTCATATTTTATAATTAATTATGTAAAATTGATCATACCTCTCTTTTTGCCAATACTATAACTTAAAATTATAGACGAGTTAGATTTAACACAAAATATGTAACAAATAGTATTTAATCACTGTGTCTGCAATTTTTTTTTATAACGATTATATATGAACAAGGTGTTTCATCGATGATGGCAGCAAGCATGTAGATGTACGATGCACTACATTTTAGATATGGTATATAACGTACTAGATTGTTGTTATATATCAAGTGTAAATACACATAAAAAGAAAAATAACACATACCCATCCTTCTCATTAGCTCCTGGTTGATCCTTATCAGCCATATTATTTAGATATCCAGTAATTAATATAAGTCGCTTACAGTATTTATACTAGAACTTTTAAGCCTGATTTTATTTCTGATATTCTGTTATGTATGATCAATCAGTTTTATAGTACCCTCGTTTTATAGACATGGCGGAATAATATCAGTCTGACCAGGAATCTTATAAATCTCATTAAAATTTTTGCGCAGCTTATTTGTAACTAACTATCCAATTGTGATAACGTAATTATGTCTAAAACTTTTTTTTTCTTTCAAATTGAGTATATTCAGAGATGGATTTAAATATGGCTAAGTGGGCAGTTTCCACCTTGGTCGTAATATTTTTCAACAATTAACTGTTTAGAGACAGTAAATAGTCAGAGGAGTAATATGTAGACCATTTGAATAATTAACATTTCACGGACGTGTTCTCCAGCGGATTATGATTTGAGCTTGGCGTAAAATGTGGTGATATTCATAGCATTGACATAGTCAGGGATGAACATAAGCATAGGCCTAGAGACACAGACATAGAATTAATGAGTACTTTTGGATATAAACTTTTTGGGTTAAACTTTTATTAATTATAATAACAAGTGACAATAATAATAATAATAATAATAATAATAATAATAATAATAATAATAATAATAATAATAATAATTATTATTATTATTATTATTATTATTATTATTATGATTATTATTATTATTATTATTATTATTATTATTATTATTATAATGATAAAAAACTTAGCTTGTAAAAATAACACCCTGGCATACTTTTGGGTTCAAATTTGATTAATTATAATAACAAGTGACTTAATAATAATAATAATAATAATAATAATAATAATAATAATAATAATAATAATAATAATTATAATAATAATAATAATAATAATAATAATAATAACAATAATAATAATAATATTAATAATAATAATCATCATCATCATCATCATCATTATAATTATAATTATATTAATTTTAATAATAATAAAAAAAACCTTGTAAAACCATGTAAAATAACACACTGGCATACTAATACTTAAAAAGCAAGAACTCAATAGTCTGAATAACAATAATTAGATATTGAGCAACAGTACTTTTTTTTAGAAATATCAATTGTAACGAATAGGGTTGTGTCATTGTTTGTCAGGTATGGTTGAATAATGATTTACCAATCAATCAAAATAATTTATCACCAGTTTACATAATAAGGTTATTGCCAAGACGATTTAACATCAACATTGTAGTGCAGTTTATAAAACAGATGAGTAAGGGATTTGACGAAAAACACATTGGCTATAAAAGGCATAATGTTTTCATTGAGGATGCAGAAGTTTGAATGACGAAAATAGTGTCTGTACAAGAAGATGAACTGGGGTAGTGCAAGATAAATAATGCACTGAGTCCACCAATGAATTGAATAAGAAACGGTTTGTAGTTCATCTGAGAATGAAGTAGCCATAATTATCTTAAAGTACTGTAGTTTTTGATTCTATTTCTTGATGAGAGATAATTTAAAAAAAAATTTTCAGAGAGTTGAGGATAATGGTAATTCCTATAGCGCTTGTCTAGTTGCTTTTTACAAAGATAATAAATAGCAGAAGATAGAGCAGCTTAACAATATAATGGAACATCCGTACGAAAGGCATTTTGGGTACACAGAGAGCAATTTTATCCCGTCCCCGCGGCGGCGCTATATAGCAATAATAAAGGCGCCGCTCTGGTTCGTTTTTGTTTCCTGTAGTTTCTCCACTTTCGCTGGAGGGCGGATTTTCCATCAATTTTAATACAAATAATCAGAGTAGCTCATTCTTCTGCTATTTAAGTTCTTTGCTTTTTATAGGTCTTTTTATCTTTTTGCTAATCCGAAATAAAGCACCAACAGTGGCAGCAGCAAGAAGGACAACAACGGAGACCACAAATAAACAATTGCCTCCACCACCCTTTTCACTAAAAAAAAAACCGAAAATGTTCCGATTAGAAAGATATTTTGTCCTTGATACCGTTAACTTGATATCATTAAAAAGGCATATAATGTTATAAAGTTTGTCAATAAAAATGGCAACAAAAACGAAACGTATACTTACTTTGGCGATGGTTGATCCTTATTTTGCCCACTCATTTTGTATACAATATATTCTCTTTTACAACGTCTCGGATGTAAAATTTAAGACTCGCTGTTTATTGTATATATTACTTTAATCTACCAATGTCCATGAATCTTACTCAAATGATATCCTGTTTTATAAAAACAATTGTAAAATGCTTCTTTAATAAGGATATGTTGACAACAGAAAATTCAACGGAGTTTGTGTGTGTGAAAACTAGAAGTCAATCCAGTCCTCTTGTTAATAGAGACGCATTTACATGGACCACGTCGTGAAATCATAGCCTCCCTTTCTTTATTCGGAGTAACGTTTGTTTTGTATTATCAGCGGAGTAATATTGTAGAATAAATGAGTTGCCGTTATAAAATTTCCAGTGTATTTTCAAGTTATTGTCATATATTTTATCTTGTATAGGCTATATTTCAACCAGGGTGAGATAGGCCTACAATAGAAAAATCTTCTTTGGGACACGTCTAATCATTGATCACCACTTTTAACAGACACTTTTCCGTGAAATAAGGGGAAATATATCTTTTTACACTACGGTGAACCCTTATTATAAAGACGGGGATATTTTCTAGGTGTGCCAAATTAATACACTTTTAACCCCAACTGAGGGACCACTATAGTTTTTATCGTATATAAAATTTGGGCTATAGTATCACTACAAATACAATAGATTTAAAACAATAATATTTCATTCAGATATATTTTTATGACAACTATTGAGCTATAAATCTAACATTTTGTTCTTGATCCTTAAAATGGATATCACTGTAGACCCACTGTGTGTGTTACTTTGTATAATCTAATTTTATCAATTTTGACCCTTAATCATTAAATTGTTTTCTTTTGTCAGTGTATTTTCATATTGGATTCAAATCCATATTATATCCTGCACCCTGATTTTTAAGTCAATATGCATTGTTGCTGTATCTGTCATATTACTTAAGTCATAAAACAATATAAATTATTCGATATTTTAATTAAATTTATTTGATATAATTATAAGTGTATTGTATTTGTATTTCACAATTAAGAATAACTATATTTTATATTGTATTGTATAATTATAAGGAATGTGTCACCTTTGTATTCCTACATGTCAAAAAACCTATTAAGAGGACAATTTTACTTTGTTATGTAGTGTAACCTAAATAGGGGTACCCCTTTACAGGTAACAACATTTTGGTAGCAGATGTGTCCACTTAATATAGGTGCTACTGTAATAATACTGAAGAATTGGGAATATGCTTTTCGAATCTACAAGCAAATCTCGCGAAACTGGCACGCGAGTCTCTCTCTTCCGGCAACCAAGGCAATTGCTGTCTCTTATACACATCTAGATGTGTATAAGAGACAGTATATATATAAAATAACAAAAAGGAATATGTGTGAGTGAAAAAAAAATTAATTAGAGTTCAACCCTGTCCTGTTGTTGTATATGAAGACACATTGACCAAAACACCCTTGTGGTGGTTTGAAAAAAACAAACTTGGGCCTACTTTAGGCCTATATATTTTCAAATATCTCTTGTCAAATTTTGCCTTACCCTTTGTTTCAAATAATGTATAGCATAAACCCATTTAATGTTGACCTTTCTTCCTAATAAATTTTTTAAAGACTAATGCTGTCTTGTATTTCCAAAGAGTGCAAACACGTATGTTTCTTGCAAGTGGTTTTGCAAGAAAAGCATAAGCCTATAGTGTATTAGAAAATGGTAATTTATGCACTAAAGATTCTAATAAAATATACAAAACAATATGTAAATACAATGCATTCAATACTATATTTTCTTCTACAGAGTACTGTAATGATGGCACTAGAAAATATTTTCAGTACCTACAAACATAATGGATTTCAATTCCCAACAAAGCTTCAATGACCTAGTTGGTTAGGGCGTTTGCATGGACAATACAGATCACGGGTTTGAATCTATTTGATTTTACTTTTACTGGTTAAACTAAAATATATGAAATTGTACAATGCAATTTTGAAAAGAGATAGTATTAACAGGATAAAATATGAGTATTTCGGTGTGAATCACACCTAGGATTACCCACTAAGTCCGAAGACTTTCTTCCATAGGGGTCCTTCTGTTTGTGGTAAATTGGGCAGGACACCGGACGACAATCTCCTACTCTTTCCAAAGAATGTTCTGCGTTCTTATTTAACGTGCACATGGGCCATATTGCACAATTCAAGTGACCAACGCCTCAAACGTCTCATCCGAAGGACGGTATGTTATCGTCACCTGTAATTCAGCCTCCAGCTGAAACACAAAGCACCGACTGAGATAAGTTGCTCTCTCAATTATAGGATACAATTTTTTTCTAAATATTACTGTTGGAATATACTGTTATTTTCAAATTTCAGTAAATATTAAACGATGCAGGCCTATTTTAATAGAAAAGCATCAAAACTACATGAATGAAATTCTAGTAGGTCAGATAGATTTTACAGAAGAGCCAAAGTCAATAAAAACTCTTGATGTGCACTTCAATGAATTGGTTCCATAGGATTTTTCAAGCCTGTTATTTGATTCCGGGTATAAATACAATATGTTACTTAGTCAGACTCCTTAGGAAAAAAAATTGATATGTTGTAGAACTGATTTTTCTAAGACAGAAAAAAGTAGTTTGATCAAAAACTGAGCAACGGTAAATGAGATACTGATTTTTAAACATTTAAAATCTGGGGGGAAAAGGCTTAAAAATGGGCGGTTACACCCCTTTTTCCCCAGTTTTAAAATATTTCAAAATCTGTATCTCGTTCACCGTTCTACAGTTTTTCGTCAAACAACTTTTTTCTGTCATAGAAAAATAAGTTCTACAACATATCAAAACATTTTTTTTTATCCGGAGTCTAACTTTAATAATGTTTGATCAGTTGTGGTAGCTAGTACAGTAGTAATGTTGGTTTGGTGAGGAAGAGCCGTTGTCCTCGATGGCGATTGGTTTTCTTGTGGCGTGTTTTCAACGATCGGATAAATCTTGTTTATTGGTTAAGTATATACA